GGGCTCAGTCCCAGGACCCCGGGATCATGACCTGAGCCGAAGGCAGACGCTTAACCAATTAAACCACCCAGGCTCCCTTCAGATCCCATGTTCTTAACCACTCTTCGTATACCTGCTGAGGAAAAGGAGAGGGATAAAGCAGCCATAGATTTCTTACATGAGACATGTTCTTAGACCACTCTTTAGTCAGGAAATTGCAAGTTGGAGATCTCTCTAATAAATACATTCCCTGAACCCCAGGACACCTAAGAGTACAATCATGAAGTGCTTTCAGTGGGTGGAGTTAACGGGAGGCTCAGAAGGCACTGTCCCCTGAATATGTCTATTTAAACTCCCTATCTTTCCATTTAATCCTTGACTGCTAAATGCTGGTCAGTTTTAGCTTCCTAGCTCCTTAGTCCACACCTTTCCCTGACTCTACCTGTAGAAGGTAGCCTTTAAGGTCCAAGGCCTCAGTGATTCTTGCCTCCTGATATTCATACCTCGTTGACTCACTGTTTTAAAGACTGGAATACAACAGGAGTGCCTGGATGGCTCAGTCAGTTGAGCATCGGACTCTTGATCTCAGCTCAGGTCCCCCTTTTTTTTTTAATTTTATTTTATTATGTTATGTTAGTCACCATACATTATATCATTAGTTTTTGATGTAGTGTTCCATGATTCCTTGTTTGCATATAACACGCAGTGCTCCACGCAGAACGTGCCCTCTTGAATACCCATCACCAGGCTAACCCATCCCCCACCCCCTCCCCTCTAGAACCCTCAGTTTGTTTCTCAGAGTCCATAGTCTCTCATGGTTCGTCTCCCCCTCCAGTTTCCCCCTCTTCATTCTTCCCCTCCTGCTATTTTCTTCTTTTTTTCTTAACAACTATTGCATTATTTGTTTCAGAGGTACAGATCTGTGATTCAACAGTCTTACACAATTCACAGCACTCACCATAGCACATACCCTCCCCAATGTCTATCACCCAGCCACCCCATCCCTCCTACCCCCACCACTCCAGCAACCCTCAGTTTGTTTCCTGAGATTAAGAATTCCTCATTATGAGTGAGGTCATATGGTACTTGTCTTTTTCTGATTGACTTATTTCTCAGCTCAGGTCTTGATCTCAGGGTCATGAGTTCAAGCCCTGCATTGGGCTCCATGTTGGGTATGGAGAAATAAAAAAAAAAATAAATGAAGAACACAGTAGAAGTAATGAGATGTCAGTTTTGAGATTACGTTCTGAAAAGACCGTGGCTTCCATCTTGGGTGCTCTCTTTCGCTTTATCTTGGCTCCTTCCCTCTAGGGGAAGCCAGCTGCCCTGAGACAGCCCTACAGAGGTGCCTGTGTGAATGGCCTTAGGAGATCCTCTGGAGCCTGACACAGACCTATGAGTGAGCTTGACCGCCGCTTCTCTTCTAGTTGAGCTTTGAGGTGAACAGCTGATAACAGCAGCAGCGCCCCTTGAAAAACCCCGAGCCAGAACCACCTGGCTAAGCCCTCCCTGATTACTGACCCCAGAAGCTGTGAGGTAATCAGTGTTTGAATTTTTTCAGCTGTGAGGTTTTGGGGGTGATTTGTTGTACAGGAATAACTAATCCACTGCCCTCGGCTCCTCTTTCCCGCTATGCTTTCACTGAAACCTAATCTTCTGAGCCCTTGCTTTCTCTTCAGAACCCGGTCTGGACCCATACTGGATGCTTTTCATCTGGCATTCAGCAAGGGCAAACTTACTAACCTCTCTGGACTCCAGTTTCTTCATTGGTAGAATGTGGGATTGGTTGGGCCAGGTGCTTTCCAGATCTTTTCGAGCCCTAAAGTTCTGTGCTTTTTGATTTCCCCAGGCGCTGTCTCCAGTTTCATCAGAAGAGAGAATATAAGAAATAACAGTTGGAATCAACCAAACTTTATTAACACTGGGGACCTTGCTTTCCAGGTTGACTTGGGGATAAAAGGCAACAAACAGAATAAGCCTGTGGTGACTAGCCCAAATAGCCGAACTGCATCTGTCTTGGTGAATTTTCAGAATCTCTCATCAAAACCATCAGCTTCTAGGAGCAGCTGGGTGGCTGAGTCGGTTAAGCGTCCGACTTGATCTCAGCTCAGATCTTGATTCAGGGTTGCTGGGCTCCACACCGGGCATGGAGCCTATTTAAGAAATAAAAACAAAAGCCATTAACTTCTAGAATTTACCCCTTTTCTTCTCATTCTTAATTATCACTTAACTCTGGTCATACTAACCTCAGCCTGTTAGGGTAGCCCCAGGAAAATGAGAGGTAGAAGCATTAAAGGGAGGAGCCCAGAGAAGTCCAGACTGAGGACAGCAGAAAAGTCAGTATGTGAAATGGCTGACTTCTCAATCCAAGATTTGTAGAAACTGATGTTTGTATATATTCCAGGCTCATTGGTTTGGATGCAGTTTGATCCCCAGCTGACCACTTCTGCCAGGACCCAGAAATCCTCCACTGTACATGTCAGGGGATCTCCTCTACTGCCCTGGGGAGAAAAGAAAGGTGACTAGGCCAGGCACAGGGCAGAGGGTAACTCTCCCAATTGCTGAGTCAGACTGAGAGCTACCTTCTCTCTAAGCTCATTGTCTTGTCCTTCTCACTTTTAAGGTCTTAGCACTATTGCTAAACGAGAGCAAAAGCAGATATAAATAAGCCAAAGAGATCACAGCAGAAGTGTGAAAGCAAAGGGGGAGGTAATTGGGTCAAGGAGACTTTGAAGTCTGTGGCATCTCAGATCAATTGCCTGGAGAGTACAGTATATCTGGTGCTGGGGCTGGGACAGAGAGTAGGGGGAGAGAATGTCAGTTGAGGAAAGAGAGCTCAGAAAATCCACTTATCCCCACGTTGGTGTATTCCAGAATAGCCCCATCCAGTCACCCAGCAGGAGGTTGAGTTCTTGAGCTGGGCTGCAGATGGGCAGAAAAGAAACTGGGTAGGCCAGTTTTGCCACAGTGATGACGCTAGTTGTGTTTCCCTCGAAGTGAGGATAGGGGATAATCCTGGACACAGGGATTATCGTCGTTTTGGAGCCGGGGCGACCAGAGACCTGAAGTGACCCCACCAACACATTGTATTTTCTGGTGTCCTTAGACCTGAGAAGAGAAGCAGAGTGGGGGACCCTGAGTTTCTCGTGACTCTGTCATGGAGTGTCACAGCAGAGCCCATAGTTCTGGAGGTTGCATTTCTTAAGCATTGTTCCTTCACTAAGTATTGAGCATTTCTTGAGAGTACAAATGAGACTTAGACACAATCTGGCCCTCATAGGGCTGTTGGATTGTGTGCGTGCATGCGTGTCCTTGTGCACACCACGAGTGTAAGTGAGAGAGAGGGGAGGGAAAGAAAACAGATGAGCAACAGACAGTTTAACAGGTACAGCATTTTTAAACTGTGATAAATACTGTGACAAAAACAGGATTTTAGGTTAGAGAGTAAGGGATAGGGGAAGAGTCTTTGGATTGGGCAATCAGGAAAGGTCTCATTGAAGAGAGAAGTTCTCAACAGAGGTCCAAAAGAGTCAGCCATGAGAAGAGCTATCAGGAAAAGCATTTGAGACAGAGGGAATAGACTATGCAAAGGCCTGGACGGTGAGAAAGAACTGGGCAGTTTCTAGGAATTGAAATAAACCTGGAGTGGAATGAGGTGAGGTTGGAAAAACGAGCAGATTTCTGGTGATCTACAGCTTATAGGCCACAGTGAGGCATCTGGTTTTTATTCTAAGTTGCCTGGGCAGCCACTGAAGGATTTGAAGGAGGGAGTGACATGATCTTGCCTCTTTTTGAAAAATCACTTTGTTATGTATATGAATCAAGTAGCAAAACGTGTTATACTACTGCAGTGGTCTGAGGACAACTATGCTTGAATCAAAGTATATTTTGGAAGTAAAACTGACAGAATTGGCATATGGAGGGTGAGGGAGAGTGGGCTTCACATTTCTGAGTATGGCCTGAGCAGCTGGTCATGTTGTTGAATGAGATAGGGAAGATAGAAGTCGGTTTGGGAATGGTGGTGGTGGTGAAATTGTAGCTCTGTTTTGAACATGTGACCTTGAAGGTACCAGTGAGGGGCCAGTGATGTAATTGTGGGTGTTATCAGCAAATATATGACATTGTAAACCGTAGGAGAGGATGAGGTCACCTGGGGAAAGTAAAGAGGGCTCAAGATTGTGCCTCCAGAGTGGTGTGGAGATGTGGCATGCTGGAAAGGGGCGATCCCTCCCCTGGGAATATCTCCTTTGGGTAGAGACTGAGTTGGGGGCACAGGGGATAACTGTTTTTAGGCATTCATCTCAATCAGGGCAATTGTCAAATATGAGGATGCTTGAAATCTTAAGAGTAGTTGCATTGACTTGAGAGCTAGGGCAGGAAATCTTTGGACCCACTTCTAGGGCACAGTGTACTATATTGGGCCGTGCAAGGTAAAATCCTGTCTGACCTGAGCCCAGGAGTGCCAGTCACCCAAGTCCCCCGACGGGTCTCCCCAAAGCAAGGCCCGCACTCACCGGGAGCAGCTTGCCACTGTCAACACCCATTGCTTTGAGATGAGAGTGGCTGCACAGATGTGAAGCAAGCCCTGGCAGATGCTGACCTGCCAGGGTCACTGGCCCACGTTGGCCTCCCTGCCTGAGGCAATGTCAGATGAGACGGCTGGCCGCCCACAGACAGCCGGCAAAGAGGAGAAAGGCATGGGAGATCTGCCCAGAGACCTTATCCCTCCGCCGCCACCCCTCCGCGCTCCTTTCCCAAACTGGTGTCCTCTCTTCAACTTGGCACAGATTCCCGTCACTTGGTCCACCCAGTCATGCTGTGGTGGCTGGGGCATCTTACTTGACTTCAGGAGATTCTCTGGTTCCTCCTCATTGGTGCCTGGGGAGAGAAAGGGGGTATGTGGGAGACACCTGTGATGAATTCTTGTTGCCACAGGAGGCCCACAGCCCATGCCCTGTGCAGCTTCTCCTGGGCTGGAGACCCTACCCCCGCCTAGGACTCTCCTCACTCCGGGAACACACCTGAGATCCCCAGCAGAAGGGGCAGCAAGAAGATAAAACCAGCAGGGCCCATGTCTTTTTTTTTTTTTCCTCATTAAACTTTTGTTTTAATGGGTCTCAAAATTCTGTGACAGATTTTTGGTCAAGTTGTTTCCATTAAAAAGTACTGATTTTAAAAACTAATAACTTAAAACTGACACACACACACACACACACGCGCGCGCGCGCGCGCGCACGCGGTCCACAAAACATTCTCCTTTCCTTCTGAAGGTTTTACGATGCATTGTTATCACAGGGCCCATGTCTTTTTCCTCAGAATCAGCACTCCCTTCTTTCTGGACTTAGGCTCCCAGGGAGAGGCCAGCTGGGGAGCAGCCGGAGAAGGCGGGCAGGACCAGCTTCTCCTGGAGGGATGTGTCTGCTTCACCCCCTCCTCTCCTTTGGTTTTCACACAGGCCAGGCACTGAAGGGACCAGACTTGGAAAGTGCAGCTTCAGGACCCAGGGGGAGGAGCTGGGCCCCGAAGCGCCCCCTGCTGTGCAGGAGAGCAGGATGTCTGGGGTTCTGCCAGTAGGAAGAGGGGCAAGTTGGGCGTGGGCCCTGGAAGGAGCTGGGCTCAGTCAGTGGAGTGATCCTGGTGTGGGGCAAGGCCAGGCTCACAGTCCTCCCTCTGTCCACCCTGCCACATCTCAGGGACTTGCCTTAGTTTCTCTCATGTAATTACTCCCTGGCCGAAGGTGAACCAGCCTGGGGCAGATCCCTGAGCTTGGCTCCCAAAGGGCTGTGCCCTAAGTCCTTGGCCTCTTGACCGGTTACAGGATTGACAAAATAAAGAAGAGGAAATAAACCAGTCAGTTAGCTGACCAGTATTTCCTGCTTTGTCTCTTTCCCCTTTTTGTGTCAGTCTCTACCTGTTGTAATTTGTCCTTTGCCTTCCTAAGTCAGCAAATATTCATTAGATCTTTATCATGTACAAGGTATTGTGCTAAATGTGGCAGAATTTATAAAGCACGGATTATGGGGGCTGCCTACCTTCAAGTTGTTGGCAGTCTGGTTGGAGAGAAGTAGAATAAGGAAGTAACTCAGGATGTTTTTTGTTAACAATCGGTCTCCTGTTCATTAAAAAAAGGGAGCAGGTGCCTCTGAAATCTGAATGAACTTGGATACAGCACATAACCGAAGTGCTACGTGAATGTGGTTTGCTATTTTTAAAACCATGATGAGACTGAGGATGATGACAGTGACACAGTTCTTAGATTCTTTCATTCCAGAGCCCTGCTTGCCGCAGGAGGGCATATTGGGTACAATAAAAATGAGTGGGATTGGAAGGCCTATAGAAATGGCGCGCGGGGGGGGGAGGATTATACTTCTAAAAATCAAGAATGGGATTATTAAAATCGAGAATTAATTTAACTTGAAACTTTCTAGAGACCAAAGCAAAAAAGAGAAAAAGGATGAGCGGCGTAGCTCACGTCATCTGAAGCATACTAATAAGCATGGCCAAACTCTCTAGTCAGGAGGTGACTTTTTCCTCTTTGGTAATAAATTCAGTGAGTTTGTTACAATATTATAAAAAGCGCAGGGGTTAACGTAACAAGAAGTTTTCTAGAGGACTGAGAAACACACCTTGGTTTTTATATTCTCTTAATACATGCTAATGCCATCATTCTGAGTCATGATTAAGGCATTTCTGTGAAGAACTAAACAAGTATTTATATTTCTTGTTATGTAACTTGAAACAAAAGTAGAATTTAGAGAAGATGCCTCTTTCCTCTTTAAAGTACCAGTTTTTCCAGCTGTGCTTTGGTGAGGTCTATATTTTCTAGATACCCTTCAGACTGTCTTGACATTTCATTGACCTTTTCTTTTCTTTTCTTTTTTTTATTTTTAAAGATTTTATTTATGTATTTGACAGAGAGAGACACAGCGAGAGAGGGAACACAAGCAGGGGGAGTGGGAGAGGGAGAAGCAGGCTTCCCTCAGAGCAGGGAGCCCGATGCGGGGCTCGATCCCTGGACCCTCATGACCTGAGCCGAAGGCAGAGGCTTAACGACTGAGCCAGTCAGGTGCCCCGACATTTTATTTTCTTAACTAAGGAACCAGCTTGTATTTCTTTCTCTATGAGAGCCTGTCTCAGCGTTGTTTGCTTAGGGGCTGCGGGAAGGCAGGTGAGGAGGACAATTTCAGAACCAAATAAAAGTACCAAAGATTTCAACATATGCAGTCTCATCTCCCCTGTTTAGAAGAGAATGGAAAGGTCTGCCCCTCCCCTGCCCCAGACAGAAGCCCCAGACATCCTCTCTCCCTGGACAGCAGAGGATGCTTCAGGCCCCAGCTCCCCCTGGGTCTTGCAGCTGTACTTCTGAGGTCTGGTCCTTCAGTGCCTGGCCCTGGGTGAAATGGATAGAAAGCAAAGATTATTTCAGCCAGAATGCACAGAAGTTAGATGCTAGTGTATTAGGATACTAATGTGTATAATTAATAATGTAGATAAATTAGAAACTCTGGAGAGAGGGGGACAGTTTAAAGTCTTTGTTAGAATTTGGGTTGTCCTTCTAGTTTACAAAGAGAATAAGCTTTTTTTTGTGTAGAAATGTTACATTGATTTCTGAATAGTTTAGCATGTGATCAGTTACAGAAGCTTTACAGTATTTTACATTTGCAGACCATTTTCCTCCACACAGTGACTGTGAGGGTTTTCATTTCTATTTTATAGATGAGGAAACTGAGGACCTTGGAGGTCAAATGACTTAACTAGTTGTATTACCGTACACTAGCAAAACTGGGAATTGCTTCTATTTCCTAGTCTACTACGGTAGTCACCCTCCTTATCCCTGGGGGATGTATTCCGAGACCCCCAGTGGAGGCCTGAAACCACAGATAGTACCAAACCCTAAGTGTACTGTTTTTCCTATACGTATATTCCTAGGATAAAGTTTTGTTTATAAGTTAGGTACAGTAGGAGATTACCCACAATGCCAAATAATAAATAGAACAATTATAACACTATGCTATAATAAAAGTTATATGAATGTGGCCTCTCTCTCTCTCAAAATATCTTATTGTGATGCTGGGAGATGATAAAATGCCTGTGCGATTAGGTAAAGTGAGGTGATTGATGGAGGTGTTGTGACCCAGTGTGTTAGGCTAGTACAGACCTTCTGATGATAACCTGCTGCTCGGGACCATGGCGGACCAGGGGTAACTGAAACTGTGGAAAGCGAAACTGCGGATAAGGGGTCTACTGTAATCAGATTCACATCCAGATCGCCTGACTTCTTGTCTAGTAATCTTTCCCTCCATGCTATGGCAGCCTTCCAAGTCCAGGAGACATCATTCATTTATTCAGTAATCATTTTTTCATTGCCCATGCCTGACACTGTTCCAGAACAGGAGGAGCAGCAACATAGAAAAAGCCTCTGTCCTCATGGAGCTTATACTCTAGTTTTAGATCATGAGAAATGCTTTGGAGAAAAATAGAACAGGAAAGGAATTCTGTGGTGGGGTGGTCAGGGAAGACATCACTGAGGTAATTTCTGAGCAGGTATTGGAGGAAAGAGAGGCATTGAGCCAGTGGTTACCTGAGGGAAGAGGGGTTGAAGCACAAATGATAGCGGTACAAAGCCCCCAAAGCAGGGGTGTATTTGGACATTTGAGAAACACTAAAGCTAGAGCAGAGTGAGTGAGGGGGGCCAGCGATAGGAAATGAAGTCAGACAGGGAATCAGCCAGACCATGTAGGTCTCATGGGCTACTATGAGGACTTTGGCTTTTATTCTTGGTAGAATGGGAGATTTTGGTCTGACTTAAAGTTTTAAATGGATCGCAGTGACTACTAGGTTGAGAATGGTCAGGGGTAGAAGCAGGGAAACCAGTTAGAAAACTGTTAAAATAATTTGGGCAGGAGGTAATGATGGCTTTGGACCAGAACTGTGAGGGCAAAAGTGGTAAGAAGTGGTAGATTCTGGGGGTGCCTGGGTGGCCCAGTCCGTTAAGCATCTGCCATCAGCTCAGGTCATGATCCCAGGGCCCTGGGATTGAGCCCCACATCAGACTCCCTCCTCAGCAGGGAGCCTGCTTCTCCCTCTCCTGCTCCCCCTGCTTGTGATCTCTCTCTCTGTCAAATAAATAAAAAAAATATTTAATAAATAAATAAAATCTTGAGAAAAGAAGTGGTAGATTCTGGTTGCATTTTGAAGGTAGAGCTAATGAGACTTGCTGATAAATTGGTTGTGGGTATGAGAGAAGAGTCCATAATGACCCAGATGTTTTTGGCCTAGGCTGCTGGAAGTATGGAATAACCACTTACTAAGATGGAGCACAGTGGAAGAGGAGCAGGTCTTTGGGGGGTAGACAAGAAATTCATTTATAGGCATGTTAAGCTTAAGATGCTTGATAGATGTCCAACTGGAAATGTCTAGTAGGCTGTTGAATCTATGAATGTGCTCAGAGTCCGAAGATTGCTACAGACTGAAGGGCTAGATTCGGGTGTCACCCGCATGTCAGAATGTTTAGAGCCATGAAATGAGATAAGGTCACCTAGGGAATGAGTAGAAATAGAGCCCACTGTGAGTTTTAAGGCTTGACCACACCAAAGTTTAGATGAGATAAAGAGGAACCAGTAAGAGACTTGAGAGGACAGCAGGAGTTAGGCAGAGAATGATAGTAGTCTTCTGGAAGCCAAGTGAAGAAAGTGTTTCAAGGAGGAGGACGTAGGACTGACCATTGGATTTAGCATCATGGAATGGATTCTGTTGAAAGAGGTTATTAAGTGGACATGAGTGTCGGTTGACCCATGAACTGGACTTGGGCATTCAGAGGCTCCTTACCCCCTCTTCTATCCTTGGATTGTGGTTTTTGTTTGCCTTTCATTCTCTTAGAGGCTTTCCGAAGACATATCCTTGAGATAGTGATGTGTTGAGACCATCCAGACCATATATGTGACTAGCCCAGTTAAGGCCTCAACATAGTTTGAGGATTTGGCAAATGGGTATAGAGATCTACTTGTCTTGGGCAGCCACCAGTACCCTTCCTTATTAAACCTGCCACCTGCCAATCTGGAATGGCCTGATTT